ATTTGGTTTTATCAAGCGAGTTGATAATGTAAATTGGCTACCGTAAAGAGTTTATACTGTGGGCGATTTACATTATCAACTCAGTTGATGAAACTAAATTACCTTGTAATACCCCTCACTGATGCAGCACAACACTTCCTTTAATAACTTACCCCTTCCACTCCCAGTAGTCTCACTTTTCTTTCCCTATGCGGAATTAAGGTTACATAGTGTTAGTTGGTCAGTCGGTCGGTCGGTCAGTCGGTCAGTCGGTCGGTCGGTCAGTCGGTCGGTGATGAATTAAGGAGAGGGACTTGATAGAACCAGGTGGTAGAATCCACCTGAAGATAATTAATGGTAATATGAAGGAGAAAACTCTGATTCGGTTTGTAATCTTACGAGTGATTTAACAAGAGAGGGAGCTAACAGTGAACTTACATTATGAACAAACCGTTATCCAGCTCTTCAAGGAATGGAACGCTTGAGGCGATAGTGAATCGCATTTTATGTTGTTTCCTTCTCGGATGATACAAGCTTGACTTATGATCACTTTGTGATGTGTTTAGGGTGGATTCATGCCGTGTTTACCCCTGAGGACTCGCTTGTATTCGGCGGGAATTTTGTGCACAGTTATAACATCCCGGGACAAATTAAAATCAGTCAGATCGAAGACAATACCAAGGTGAGTGTAAATCTGTTGTTTATCTTAAAATGATATTCCTCACTCCTCCCGGGTCCATCTGTCCTGCTCTGCTGCCTTGGAGGCAGGTGGTATCGAGATGGAACAGAGCGAGAGAATTATAGAACGAGAACTTTCGTCATTGGGGTGGGTGCCGCTATCAAAAACAATACATCATGGTGGTTTGTGTCCATGTTCAAAAACAACAAATTTCCTTTTCTAAGCTCCTTGTTGTATAATTCTAAGTAGACTTTAAACCACTCCTTGTTTAGTGGCATTCCCTCATATTTATTACATGAGAGATTCGCCAGCCTTTTAATTACGGATGTAAAAACCAAGTCCAGGATACTGGTCATTATATATGGCTTAGAGAGAAGAAAGCGTCTTCACATGGAAGGAAATCTGACCATGTTGAAATTTACCCAATTGCGGGAGCCCCACATTGAAAAACTCTCAAATCTGAAAGATTCCTATTAAATCAGTAAGCAAAGAAATAAATTGGAAAGATTAATCTGGATTACTTACAACTTGGAGCTCCGAGCTTAGGTAACAGGGGTCAAAAGAAGTTTATTTATGTAGTTTGTATCAATGTCGAGTGGCCCTTGACAATCAGCGAAATATGTCATGTATTTTCCTTTTAATGCATTTTTACTGTACCGATGTCTTCAGTAGTTACTTTAGAATCAATTCGATTTTATAGTTTTTAACAAAGAACCTTTGAAAAGCTGCCATAGGATAACAGACTTCTTTTACGCAGGGAAAGCAGTTCTAGTCGTCGATAACTGATAGTTATTTATTTTTTGTGTGTGTGTCGCTTTTTCGGTTTTGCAAGCTTTTAAGACCGCCATAAAGTGATATTAACGCCCTGATAAGTGTTTCAGTGTAAGGAAAAAAAACACCTTGATATGAGGATAAGGCATCAGCCAACTGTAAATTAAAAACTCAAGTTATCGATAAAGCTGGCTTGCATAATTGGTACAACTTGTTACTCTTTCTACAGGTCCCTCTGAAGTTCCGGTACCCGTTTCTACCTCAAATCATGTGGTACGCCGCTGACAAGTATGTCCGATTGTTGGAACAAAATAAAAAAGAACTAGGTTTGAAATCGCCCATCAAAACCGATAGCAAGGAAGTTACTTCCGCTTTAAAGAAAAAAGACGCATCTGGCTTGAAAGGGAAAACTTCTGGTAAACGAACAAGCAAGAAGGATCCGCGAGAAGTGGACGAGAAAGCTAGTAATGGCACACATGGAGAAAATGACGAGGACGACACAACAGAGACTACAGGGCGTAGGAGATCAAGCCGGGTCGCGCGAAACGAGGCCATCGCCAAGCAAGCTCAGGAGAACGCCGAGAAGAAGACCAGTACGAAAGGTAAAGAAGAGGAACCTGATACAGAGGAAGGGAAGAAAAAGAGGGGGAATCCTAAGCGACAAGCTAAGGACAAAGAGGTGAAGGTGGAAGTGAATGGGGAAACTCACGATGAAGAAGACGACAAAGAGAAGACTGAGGGTGAAGGGAATGAAGAAGATAACAAGACTCCTTGGAGTCGGGTGTATCTTACACGATTTGAAGTTGATGGGCTGACTAAGCTGATAGAAAGACTGAGGGATTGGCCTCAAGCTCAAAAGAACGTTCCTAAGACTTTAGAGGACCCCGAAGGAGTGTTGCAGAGATTAGAGGTTTGTGCAACGTCAATCTAAAAAATATTGTTTTCAATGAAATGCCTATTTTTAAGCCATGACAATAAACATTAGATGGTACTTAAGTTCTCTCTCTTAGCTTGGTATTAGCTTGTATGGGTAGAGCGTTTTTTACAGAGTAATACCATTTCTCCATTTAGGACCTTCTTGAATTACATCGGGACGATGACCCTGAGCTTGCAGCTTCAGGGTTGCAACATCTGTTGCAGATTGACAAACCAGTAGTGGTAAGTAGAAATTGTGTCATATGTGATCCAGCACCGTATAGGTTTTGCCTTGCTTAGCACTTTAGGGATCATTGCTAGTATCTGGGCAACTGCGCACTTACCCCTCCCCTCATTCAACAAGCTTGTCATCATTTGACTGTTGTTGGCTTAGGGAAGGGGTAGGTGTGCAATCACGTGCATCAGTTTGTACTGGTAGAGACATAAATATGTTTTGTTTCTGTTTTAGAAAAAACCTGTAGCAAGGAAGCAAGGTCCTAGGGGACCGATGCTCGGTACAAAAGTCGGCCCAGGAATCAGACGCCGGCGCACTCGCTGCGGGCAGTGTGAAAATTGTCAACGAGAGGACTGTGGCGAGTGCCGTACATGTAAAGATATGAAGAAATTTGGAGGGGCAGGAAGGATGAAGCAATCGTGTCTTCTTAGAGCGTGCACTGACGTATGTCAAGTTTTAGTTATTTTTGATTAAGCGTACTAAAGTTTACTACCTTTAAACCCCGGGTAGCACTTTTGTACCAAACACGTCATCGAGTTTGACTCGGTGAACTTATGGTTAGCAGTTCAAGTTAGGAACTGGAAGGTTTGAGTTCGAGCTCTGTGAAGGCTTACTGTGGTGTATCTGTGGGCAAGAAAGACAGTTTACTCTAACATTACCCCTTTCCACTCCATTGTATGAATGTGTCTAGGAAGGAGAAACCTGGTAAAATGCAAGGGTTACCTTTTGATGGACTCGCATCTCATCTGGGAGGACATGCAAAAACTCGTAGTCGCCTCTTGCCACCTTAACTGGGACACGCGCCTGCATCTAATGAAATAGGCTCGTGGTAGAGGATTGGAAAGTTATTGTCTAGTTGTTCTCTTTTCAGCCTAACCTGCCCACTTGTGTGAAGTGTTTAATGTGCAATCAGGTCAACACGGAGGATAATCCGCTCATGGAGTGTCGTTTCTGTGGTGAGATCGTTCACCCACCTTGTCTGAAAGACATCAAAGGGCTTTGTAAGATTGTTACTGAGATCAATAACTGTTGGGAGTGTCCTAAGTGTTGCAAAGATGCAACGGTAAGTACTGATTTCAAAGTCTTCAAACTAAGAGTGTGATGAGCGATTTTCTTTGAGTATCACTTGAACATTGTAGAGAATGCTTTCTTCTTTGTTTACTTTGCGGAATGAGTTGTTTAGATGACGCCCGTTTTAATTAATCATCTAGATTCTTGTAAATTCCGTGAATGATTCTTCTTTCACTTCTCTGTCTCTCCGTCTCTTTGTTCTTTTACGTTGACTCTTCTTTTCCAGTTTGTCTGATTTGATGGATCGGTCGGTCAGTTTGTCGGATGATACGTGTACGCTCGTTTGGGAACATCCGTTCTTTACAATCAGATAATACTTCGTCATATATTTTATGACCTCTCAGTAGTATATTATATCTCTCATAGGCGACGTCTGTCGATGATCTTCCAAGTATTCCAGCAAAGAAAAGAAAGGTAGTGTAAATTTGTACAGCTTAATAACCCTTTGACTCCTAACAGTGACTTGCATCTAATTTCTCCTTACAATATCACCCGCAAATCAAGCCAATTACGCTCACGAGAATATTGCGAATGATCAACAACTGTAAACCCTTCCCACCCTAACATCAGTAAAGTTATTCTCCATACATTCCCTAAGGTGCTTTCAAGGAAAATTTGAGTAAAAATCAACAGCTGCTTTAGCTGCTGATAGTTTTCTTTATTCTGGTGACATTACTGCATGATTCAGGGGTGATAATGTAAGGAGAAATTAGATGCTAAGCACTCTAAGGGGTCAAAGGGTTTAACAAATTCTCCTTGTGGGTACCTTTTGAAATGTATAGAGATCAGTATGGAGAATATGCATACTGATGTTGTGGTGTAAAGGGTTAAAAGGAAAAAGGTAGCACGACTGCGAGGAGATACTAAGGAGATTGTTCGTTATAATTCACGGAAACTGTTCTTAAGAGAAACAACACAAACCAAAAGAAGTCAACATACATGAAAATAAGGTTGTAGCTAACAGAAGTTTTATTTTCGAATTCTTGTAATATATCTATATATTTACTTTTTTTGTCTATAGGCAAGTCCAATCAAAGAGTCTGCTAAAAAGGTACAGTGAATATTTCTTTGGCGCTAGTCAAATCGCTACATGCACAGGGTTTCTATGAGCTTGGCTAACTTCTCAACGGAAGTTAATTGAAGGGATGCGCGTAATGAGTCCTTAGATAAATTTTGATGCGACATATACTTCTCTGTTTCATTAGAAAGTAGGGAACAATTTGGAAGGAAAAATATTTGTCTAGCAGAAGTTTCTGAATGTTTTTTTCCGTGCACCCTTCAATTAAACTTGTCTAGACCATTTTGTTTATGGGAAACAAGGCTGATCGCCCCCTTAAAGCCTTGTTACACATGATGCAATTTGCTCAGCTTTTTTATTTTTCTGTTGGCTGTAACATGTCAAAACACTTGTGCACGGTTTCCATTTCCTAAGACTTGCTTCTACGCAATTGTACGTCGCCAACTGTTACTAAACCTTGGCGAGACCCTTCTTCATCAGATGTTGTTACATGTGTGACAAATATCAATGAAACTAGTGCGGCAATGAAACTTACAGCCACTTTTACTGTACAAGTTACCTTGTGAAAGAGAGCGTAGGTTCTTTTACTTCCACTAAATTTTATAAGTGATTCTTCTTACCTGCTGCCATATTAGCATTCCTGGTGGTCTTTTTTAATAGTAATTTGGTGTCGAATCTTGACAATACATGTTAACTGATTTGGTTTTCTATTCCCTCTATCTGTCTACCTCGAGATGTACCAATGCAAGAAGACATTAGCTCACGTTCGTATTCTCTTGATTGATAATTTAAGGATAAGTAGCATGCATTTAAAAAACAAAAACAAAACAAAAATTCAAAAAAGCGCTGTTCAAACTAATTGCTGCTTTGACATCGTTTCCATGACCCAAGGGCCCTTTTTGGTTCTTCGCTGTAGTGTGCTCCAACACTAAGTAGAGAGGGCGTTATGGCTCTCTCTAAAGTTCCATTCTACGCCGAATTACATGCACATGAATATGAAGGTAACGGACTAATGCCCAGTATGCGGTTGAGTCGCAATCGTTAAGAGTCTTCCTCTATAAATTTATTAAGTTCTGTAAATTTGATTGAAGCTCGCAAGGGCTATATAGTCGTCCGTACTTGTCTCTCTTTTACGTGGAAACCTTTGTAATCGTCGTAGAGTAATGTTTCGGTTGTAATTTTTTGCTTTGTCGTCATCTCATTTGTCATCTAATCCATCCTGTGGAGTAAACCTTGAAATTGTAGAACGCGCCAGTTGTCATTTTGGGATGTCTACTCATCGTCCGAACTAGACTATTATTATCGGTCGGCGAGTCGCTGCACTGCGTCTCTTTCTGTGGTCCGTCGGCTTCCACGAGAAGGGGTCTAGTACGTTCGGCTAGGATTTGAAATGAAGGTTATAAAATCGTCCAATAACTCACTGTAAAACTCGTTTCCTAATCGACAGGATGACCGAGCTCCAAAAGAGAAAATCAGAAAGGTGCCTTTAAGTATGTGAATCATTTTCATTTCGTTCTTGTGTTTGTCTGATCAGTGAGACATGAATTCGTTTTTTAATTGATGGCTCTCAGGCCATTAGACATGTCCATCAAGCCGAACCTTCACCAAGTTTGATGACCCCTTCTCAGGGGCCGTGAATGTAACTTTTTGAAGTTTGAAAATCGCTCGCATTAACCTTCCAAGTACTCATGTGCACACGTTAAAACTTCTTTTGTTTTCTTGCAGAGGAGCAAAATGGAGAGCGAGTCCTCAGACGGAGAAAGTGACGAGTTTTCTGTGAATGTTTCCGATGAAGTGACTTCACGGCCCCGCCGTCCTGTTGTAGTACCCAGACCTCCACCTGGCCCTCCGCCAGAAGTACATCCTAAACTTGTGGTTCGTCCTTGCCCAGTCTCTCCTCCTCCTCAGTCTTTCACGCTGGACAGTGGTCAAAGTCACGTGATGGACTGTCAGCTCTGGCTTTCAGTGTTTAGCTTTCTCTCCCAACCCGAGCTCTGTCTGTGTATGCGCGTATGTCGCACCTGGAACCGCTGGTGTATGGATCGCCGTCTCTGGTCAGTGATCGATTTATCAGAAAAGAAAGTTGTGACCCCTTCGGCCCTGAGGGGGATTGTACGGCGCCAACCTTCAACTCTAAACCTGAGCTGGACAAACGTTACTTTTAAGCAACTGCAATGGCTCCTGAACCGTCTGCCGAGAATAAGAGAGCTTTATCTGAGTGGCACAACGGAAGCGACGGCGTATGCGCTTTCCACTGTCATCTGCCCTCGTTTGAAAGTCCTGGGGCTGAGCTGGTCCGTAGGAATCACTGACTCACTGATGAAAGAACTTATTTTACCTGTTTCTGACTCACTTACGGCTCCAGGGGACAACAAAAGCCCTCTTCTAAGATTATCCACTCTCTTTCTTTCCGGTAGTGACATCACTGGTTCGACTCTTCGTTTGCTGGTGCAACATTGCCTTGACTTGAAGAAGCTGGACCTGAGTTTCTGTCCCGGAATAACTGATCAAGATATTGAAAGTGTCTGTGGACAGGCATCGATAAATGAATTTCTTCTGAGTGGCTGCGCTAAGCTGTCTGATAAGTGCTTGTCCTTTTTGAGGCTCTTTCCGTCGCTTATCCGTCTTGACTTGCGCTCTTGTAATGGGGTCACTTCCGATGCCGTTCAAGAGTTTGTAAAAACTCGCAAGGATTTGCTGAAAATTCTGGAAGGAAAACTCATTGTAAATATGTAAATACGACTGGCTGTTATGCCCTGCATTGGCCTAACCTCTGCTTGATCTAACTCAAAACCCAAGAACGTTTTCTTCAGATACAACAACCTTCGCACGCCCATTCGTATCGTTCCTAAGCATTCATTCCCACGTTTTCTTTGTTGGTTGTGTGTCTTTAGTATCACTTACATTTTCACTCATTAAGTTCAGTTCGACGTAGAAGGGGTTATATTACTGTAAGATGAAGACGGAGGGTTGACCGAGGGTACAACGATCTTGGCGAATTTTTTTTCTGTTTTGTTTTGTTTTATTCTTTAGCACAACAATTTGTTCAACCTAATTATTCTACTTCGAATTTTTCCTCTCAAAGCATTTTATTTTCCTTGTACTGTAGCTTGTGTACCAGCCTGTCGTTATGCGTCCATTTTATTTTCACAATGCCGGACTCATGTAAACACAGGCTATCTTTCGTCGAGAAAAACGTCCACCTCAATATTCAACTCTTACTCCTACAGAAAGTTTGCCACACGCTTATAAGTTAAGGAGAATTACAAAGAATGTTTTTGTGCCTGAGAGCTTTTTCATCATCGTAAATGTTTAGGCTCAGTCATGTAATTTTGCTTATTTCTTTTAATTTTGTTTGTGTTTTTGTTTTGCTTTTTTCGTGAAACTCGCACAACTTTTAGTGGTTTATAAAATATCGAATTGTTACCCCTTGAACTTAAAAGAAGGTGGTTGGCTGTATTTTGAGCCTTTTCAGTAAACAAAAGACAGTTTCGGATAGTTGACAATAGTTAGGTAAACTAATACTGTTTGAGATTGAACCATACTCTTTGTCGTTTTTTTTTTTATATCCAGGAGAAACAAACGTCAAACATCAAAACTAAGAGAGAAATAGTTTAGAGATGATCAGCATGAATTGGATCTTCTTTGAAATTGTTTGAGACAACTGCTTCAAAAGTGGGACATATTGAGAAAGAGCAAATGAACACCAGACAACTGCATTCATCTTTTTAGCTTTGTTTTCCTAGGTGCCTATTCTTAGAGTTTTCTCCCCTCCACTGCCATGTTAGCTTGCACAATAAGTCCTTCGTACAACAACAGCCTCATAGTAGTGGAGCCATCAGAGAGGAATAGGTGTTCGACACATTTAACGAACCTTCTAACTCCTTTTAGTTCGTGATCACTGGAAAATATTGAAATGAAACTAACAAGCTCACGCATTTTTATTTTTTTGTAGTTTGATTACAATGTATTCCTCGTTCTATGCGGGTCTGATGACGATTGTTAAGGTTTTGTTATTTAAAAGAAAAAATACGATGGACTCGTAAGACATGCAGTTACCTAAATCCTAATGCATTTCGACCAGCTTTGTTAACAATTTTTTGAAAATTGTATAGTTTTAATTACAGCATTTTTTACCAGGTTACACACAAAAAGTTACAATGAATTATTAAACTATAGGAATTGCGGTAAGGTTAAAAGTTTGGTTTGATGACAGTTGTACCTTCATTCGCGCAAATGCAAGGTGGTTAGAGAACGTCCTCCGTCACGCGAACCAACTCGAGCCCCCCTCGTCTTTTTTATTCTACAGCAATTATCGGGCCTCGTATCACTAACAAAACGCCTTGAACAGCCTACGACGAATTTATCGAGCCATTATCATCAGTACGTCCCTGTCTTAATCACTTGCGAACTTTCACGAGGGAGTGGATTGCAAATCAGCGTTAGCCGGCTGAAACCATTCGTGAGATCCTGTGCACGACTGACATTCTTGTCACTTTCAAGCTTTGGCCTCCTACGCCGTTCCGAACGTTTGTCATTCATAAGAGCAAATTCGGGGGGTGTGGTTTGTTTTTTCATGGAGAATGTAGTTATGCGCTTTGAGTAAGCACTGAAAGTACTCTAGCCTATGGAGTGAGCACTGATTCCCGGCTTATGGCACATGTGGAATGATTCGGAGAGGTGCTCTTCTACTTCCGGTGTCGCTCCTCATAATTAACTTTTAAATATGCATTAGTCCCTAATCCAATAACCGTGACATCTTTGGAGTTTGGGTGTTTCGATCATCGATTATTAGTCGATTAATGTTCTTTTTGGAAACTTACACGTAGGAATATACCACATTCAAGTCACAATTACAGCAAATCTGAAAACGTAGTTCATCGTAGCTAAGTGTTGCACACCTCCTGCCGGGTCTAAGAGAACCTAAAGAGTTGTCTAGACGTTACTCAATTGAATTGAAAACCTAAACTTACCTATCGGTCCTCGTGATGTGATGTATCGCTGAAACCACTGAAAAAAATATTATTACATGGTCACGGATTCCGTTCACCGTAAACTCCTTTAAGTCCTTTCATCACTGCTCATAGATCGCTAGTTATCACCTTTCAGTTTATTATCTCTTGCCTCCTATTACATCTATTTTTACGCTCTACAGAATCGGACCTTTCCCTTCAACGAACCGTCTACGGGCCACAATCCGCTGATTACCTGACACGGCGCCTTAGAAGGTGTTTGAAAATGAAAATATGGCGAATCGCTCCCGATTAGCAATTTAAGGACATAGCCGACAATATTTTTTTTTCTTTTCTAAGAAATACTTATCCTGTCACTAAGGCCCTAAGAAGTCAGAGATACATCAAAACATGCCCAATTACGTTGCCTCATTGGTCAAATTTTGAGTGATTTTAAGATTCTCTTCCGCTTGAGGCGGCTTGAAATGGTTTCGTTTAAACTTTTCTTTCTTTCGTAATTTTTCGCTATCTCCAAGTCTCGCCATGGATATCAAAACCCTACTAAACAATCTTCATGAAGAGGTCTCCTGTTCTGTGTGTATGAACACATTCAATGATCCGAAAACGCTGCCATGTTTACATGCCTTTTGCCTGCATTGTTTGAACGAGATTCTTCGAACGAGTAGCCGCCACGATATCATCGCATGCCCTGAATGTCGGAAAGAGATTCAAGTTCCTAGAAGTGGAAATCTTGAGGATCTTCCAACTAACTTTCGCATCAACAGTCTCCTTGACGTGTTGGCCATCAAAGAGTGCAGTGCTACTGGAGTTAAGTGTGGAAATTGCGAAGAGAGCAGCTCCCAAAGCTTTTACTGCTTCCAATGTTGTGCTTTCTGGTGCGAGGCTAACTGCATCAGTCTTCACAATGGAATAAAAGCGAATAAGGAACACTGTGTATTAGCGCTCAAAGACTTTAAAGACCAAGATTTTGAAAATGTTTTGAAGCGACCGGTATTTTGTCGCAACCGTGGCCACGAAAGTAAGGAATTGGAGTTTTTCTGCAAAGATTGCCGTGTTGCAATTTGCCATTCGTGTGTTGCCACTACTCATGACCGTCACGCTAAGATGCTGTTGGAAGAAGCTGCAAATGAACAAAAATTACAAGCAATGTCTGCGATTGAAAATCGGAAGAAAACAGCATTGAAGAAGAGGCGAAAAATTGCCCAACTTGACTCGGATTTTTCCAAAATTCAAGAACATGTCGCCAGTGTAAAGAAAGGCGTGCAACAGTTTGTCGACAATATGATGGCTGTTATCGAGGCACAAAAGCAAGAAACCTTTGATGACTTAGACAACAGAGCTGCAGAGTCCATGCATCGCCTGAGGATACAAAAAGGTGAGATTGAAAAACAAGTGAAAATAACTGAAACAGGCATCGAAGCTGCTGAGGCAATTCTGCAACGGAACATTAGCGCTGAAATCATGCAGTCAAACCAAATTATAGAAGAAACATTTCAGTGTCAAGTTGAGCCAGCTTATCCTCGCATTGGCAATCAAAGCATTCTAGATTTTGGATTTGTGAGAAATCAAAGATTGTTTGATCATGTATGGACTAACAGAATTGGCTTTGTAAAATTTCTACCGACAAGTCCAACTGAGTCGAGCGGCTTCGGAAAAGGAATCAGTGAACCGATTATTGGACTAGAAGCAAACATAATGTTGACAACAAGAAATGCTAAAGGAGAACAATGTTATGAAGAACGTGACTATGTAACAGTGGAGATCAAAAATCAGGAAGGCCATGACTGTGCAACGGAGACTCGAGTCCTGGATAACAAAGATGGTTGCTACAAGATCAGCTATTTTGCTAAAGAAACTGGAAAATGCCGTGTGTCTGTGAAGGTCAGTGGAGAGGAAATTCGTGACAGTCCCTTTGCGGCTGAAGTAAAACCCAGACAGTTAAGACCCGTGTTATCCTTCGGAAAATATGGTGCGGCCAAGGAAGATTTAAGATATCCCTGGGGAATAGTAGTAAACAAACGCGATGAAATTGCAATCGCTGGCAATGGTAACAACAGGGTCCAGGTATTCAGTAGTGATGGAACTTACTTAAGATCATTTGGGTCTAAGGGGGATAAAGAGGGAGGGTCTAAGGGGGATAAAGAGGGAGAGTCTAACTCGCCTACAGGGATTGCAATCGATAATGAAAACGGAATCGTTTTCATAGCAGATACAGAGAACCACCGAATTCAATTTTTCAGTGGGCAGGGAGAGTTTCTGAACAATTTTGGTGAAAAGGGAAATCTTGATCACCAACTCGAGTTTCCCCACGGGTTATCTTTCGGTAGTGACGGAAATTGTATTGTGGCTGATACCGGAAATAAGAAAATTAAATTATTTTCCCGTACCGGCCAGTTTCTCCGTAGTATAGGCTCCGAGGGTTCTTTCACAGTACCCATTCACTGTATCCAGTATAAGGAATATCTTATAGCATCAGACTTTAATGAACACTGTATCAAAGTTTTTGACAAAGCTGGACATTTTCTGTACAAATTTGGAAAGTATGGAACAGGGGACGGGGAGTTCAACGGACCTTACCATTTGTCAATTAACAAAGCTGAGCACCTGATGGTCTGTGATACAAACAATCACAGAATTCAGATGTTTGAGGTGAATGGAAAGTTTGTTGGAAAATTTGGCTCAAAAGGAAAAAAGGTAGGACTATTTACTGGACCATTCTCTATAGCAGTCCTCAGTGATGGTAGGATAGTTGTTACTGACTTTCACAATCATCGGGTTCAGATATTTGAGTAGCCGTATCCTCTGTTGTCTTATAATAGTGTTATGATAGTGTTATAATAGTAATATCATTAATCTTTCCGGTTCTTTAAACATTATTGACTACATGTGAAAGCTTCTTGTTACATTTGTAGTTTGAAACTTGTTTTTTTCACAATGTTTTAGGACATTCGCTCCAATTGTAGCCAAGAAGATTACACGCACAAACGAGTTACAATAGACATAGCTCTATATCCAGAGAGTCGAGTATTAATTTCATAGAGTATTAAGTTCGATAAACAAGACTCGATTTGGCGATTCATTATGTACTCTTTGAGACTGACTGTTCACCTCTGAGTTAGTAGTTAGTGGTCAGTGAGTGGATTTTTTCTGATTTTGTTGTTGTGTTAGTTGTTTTTAGATTTGATCAAATTCAGTGCGAAAATATCTCTCTAATAAGGAGGGATTTATTCTAAGATCACAAACCTACCGTCTATTGCACCTATAAACCCATAAAAAATTGCAAGTTCATTTTTTTAAAAGCAGTAGACTGCACTTTCTGTCATTAACTGGTGAAATAAATACTAATAGATCACTAATATAATAAATCACAAGCTGGAGGCGAGTGACATGTATATAAACTTTTCTTGTCATCTTACAACATTATACATGGGTCATTATGCAGGTAAACCGATATAAGGTGCTGTGTCCTTATTAAATGGAGCCTGAATGAGACTTATGATATCTGTCTGTGTTTTACCCAATATTGATGGAATGGCAAATACTCACCAAAAAGGCACCCAAATTGTACATGATTCTCCTCATGAGAAACTTCACACGCGCATTGAAATTGAATGGATTTTCTCAACTGGTCTTGGAACAGTTCTCTTTTTAGCTGAGATTACAATACTCTGTTGGGTTAAGTTTTATAATTACAGTAAGCCTGCAGCAGTGGCTGCTTCTGTGGTATTAGTAGCAGTATGCATTGTCTTTGTATGGTTTGCTGTGCATTTTTACTGATCTCTTGTCCAACACAAATAGATCTTTTCAGGGAATTGAAGAACTTTAACAGATTGCAAACCAACTGTACACAGATACAAGGACGGCATCCAGGTCCTAATCCCGGGGTTTCAGATAGTTTCCCTTGCGAACTGAATTCCCAGTTTTCTGGGAATTCCTAGGAATTCCTAGGAATTCTAAAAAGTTCCCAATTATGCAAATGACCCTTGCAAACTGAATTCCCAGTTTTCTGGGAATTCCTGGGAATTCCTAGGAATTCCTAGGAATTCTCAAAAATTCCCAACTATGCAAATTAACTCTGATTTAAAAAGCTTGGAATTACTGGGAATTTCTGAGAAGGGAAGACTCCAGTTTTGTGAGGCGTGGAATCCCTAGGAATTCCTAGGAATTCTCAGCTTTACAAACTACCTATAATTTAAGAAGTGTGGAACTCTTGGGAAT